GTGATCGCTTCCTTCTCCAGACTAAACATCCCTAGTTTTTGTGGTATAGTTTCATGTCCTTTCACCACTATGGTTGACTTCTCCTGAAAGGGTTCCAGGTCGTCAATGTCCTGCTTACAGTGGACAAAGTGACAATTTCAATTTATGGCAATAAACTAACCGTGCTAATAGTAGAATGCTAGAGGAAAGTCAAGGGGCCTGACCTGAAGGAGTACCTTAAAATCTTTTAATCCCCCTCATTTTACCCAAGTAAACTGGTAACTGGAAAAGAACTTTGGATTGGTAGATAAGGGTACTTAATTTACCTTTCTGGGGTTTGGTTTTCTTGACTATAAAATGAGGGGATCGAACTAGATTATCTCTAAAATTCCTTTGAGCTCTAAATACTGTGAAGGTGAAGTGGTTAGCCCAAGGTCACATAGCCAGTTGGTGTTAGAGCAGGCACCTGACTCTTTTAACTTCTAATATGGTTCTCTCTTCCCATTAACACTGGCCTGCCTTCTGGAGACATACAGAGCCTCACTCTTCTCTTGGCTTGTCTAACTTAAAGTAGAAAGTGTCACGGTAGGGAGTCTCCTAAGAGGTAGGTGACATTTTTGAAGCAGAATGTATGTCCTTCAGATCAGACCACGCTGTAGTTCACTATAAGCGTTTACTAAGTGCCTATTACAGTGCAGGTGAGTGTTAAGATAAAAGGGAAACAGGCCCTCTCCTCAAGGGACTTGTATTCTATGGGGGCTGGAGGTGGGGAGAGCAACAAAGGATCACAAATCTAAAATTGGAGGGGCCACAGAGATCATCTGGTCCAACCTCCTCATTTTAGAACAATTGAATTTTTTTTTTTGGCTAGGCAATGGGGTTGAGTGACTTGCCCAGGGTCACACAGCTAGTAAGTGTTATGTGTCTGAGGCCATTTTTGAACTCAGGTCTTCCTGAATCCAAGGCCGGTGCTCTATCCACTGTGCCACCTAGCTGCCCTAAACCTCTTCATTTTAAAGAGAAGCAAACTGAGTCCCAGGGAAGTATCTGATTTGCCCAAATGTCCCAGAAATAGTGTTAAAGGAGGTGTGGGAAGTAAGCTCTGACTCCAGAGTTAACTGCTTCTTCCAATGTGCCGCCCTGCCATCCATAATACATGAGCACAGATAAGTACCAAATATGTAAATAATAGGTTTTTTTTTCAGACACTATATACTATACCACTGCACTTATGTTGTACATGAGCACGATAAGTAAATACAAAATACATTAAACAAAGTTTTTTGGGGGAGAGGGCATTAGTGATTGAGTGGGGCTCAGAATGGGCCTCCTTTAGGAGGGAGCACTTAAGCTGAACTGTCAAGGATTTTATGAAGTACAGCTGGGAAGGGATTCTATTCCAGTCCCATACAAAGGCATGGAGATGGGAGGTAGAATATACAGAGAACAGCAACCAGGTCATTTTGGCAGAATTGAGAATAATATTTGATAGGTTAGGCAATGTTATAGGAGAAATATCTTCTATTGAATTTGTGATAGGTAAGTGCTGCAGAATAAATCTTATCACAATGCAAAAATTATTGAGGTTAAAAATCTAGGTTTGGGTCAGCTAGATGGTGTAGTGGATACAGCTCTGGCCTTGGAGTCAGGAGGACCTGAGTTCAAATATGACCTCAGACACTTGACACTTACTAGCTGTGTGACCCTGGGCAAGTCACTTAACCCCAATTGCCTCACCAAAAAGCAAAAAACAAAAAAAACAAAAACCCTAGGTTTTAATGTACTTATAAACACAGGTTCATGAGGTAGAAAGACAACCCTGAACCTTGATTGGGAATTGGGCCGATCTACTTACAGAGAAAAATTATGTTATAGCGACTGAAAATTTTTTTAAATATATAACAATCTTTATAGCCTGAGGCCATAAAGGTCACACAGGCCTAGTCAAACAGATTCATTATTTTATGCTTCCATCAGTTAGTCTTGTTCAGTTGTGCCCAACTCTTTATGATCCCATTTGGGGTTTTGTTGGCAAAGATACTGGAGTGGTTTGCCATTTCCTTCTCCAGCTCAGTTTACAGATGAGAAAACTGAGGCAAGCAGGGTTAAGCAACTTGCTCACTGTTTTGCAGGGCTAGTAAGTGTCTGAGGCAGGGGTTGAACAAACTAAGAATAAACTAGTAAACAGACTAAGTTACAGATTTAAACATTGAGTTTACAAAATTGTATACTTACAAAACTTCCAGGTTACATTTTAAAGAAGCCACAATGGGTTAATTGAGAGAAGTCACAAAGATAAAGAGCTACATCACTTTGGGAGGGTTTTAAAAGTTTTTTTTTTTTCTCATTTTGCTAGGCAATGGGGTTAAGTGACTTGCCCAGGGTCACACAGCTAGTAAGTGTCAAGTGTCTGAGGTCAGATTTGAACTCAGGTCCTCCTGTCTCCAAGGCCAGAGCTCTACCCACTACACCTTGAGCTCTTAACCTACCTGCCCCTAAAACGTTTTGTAGATGGTATCTTTCCTTTAGGTAAAGACCAGTGGGGGGGAGGGGGTGGCAGTCCAGCCCCCTCTTTTCACCATGTGGCCCCTTTCCTGCCTCCTAGAGGTCTGTGGACTGTTCCACTTATGTAAAGTGAGAACTCTCTGTATTATTACAGCTAATATTTATGTAGTGCTTATGCTGTGCCAGGAACTGTCCTAAACACTTTACAATTATTATCTTATTTAATCCTCACAACAACCCTGAAAGCTAAGTGCTAAAATTCTTAAGCAAGGGCATGTCAAAGTCAGAACAATGCTTTGGGAATAACATTTTGGCAGTTGTAGGGAGGATGGATTGGAAAGGTGAGAAACAGTGGAGTTAAATTAGAAGACAGAATATTACTATATGAATATGAGGAATACAGAGAAGCATTGAAGGACTTACATGATCAGATGCAAAGTGAAGTAAGCAGAGCCAAGAAAACAATATACATAACGACTACAGGGGTGTAAATGGAAAAAACAGCAACCACAAAACAGCTGAAAAAGAATGTTGCCAAAATGAAAAAGAACAAGCATAGCCCCAAAGAAGAGATATGAGAAGACACCTCCCCTCTAGCTTCTTTTCAAAAATGAGCATTTATAGGCGTGGAACTTTGCTTTTCAAATTTTTTTTATGTATTGTATTTTTTGCTGAATTGCATTTAGATGGTGTGAAAGTAAAGATATCAATAAATATATTTTTAAAGAAGAAAAAATTTAAAATGAGATTATTATAATAGTCTATATGAGCACTGACTGACAAGGTCCTGAACTGGATGTTGGCTGTGAGTGCAGAGATCAGAACAGATTGAAGAAATATTACCTAGGTAGAATTGGCAAAACTTGCCAACTGATTGGATTGGGGGTGTGTGAAAGGCAAGATGTTTTCTATTGGGGAATGGTTCTTGTTCTTACATGAATTTGACTTGGTTACTTAATCTGTGTAAGAGAAAATTACTGCAAAGATTTTTCCTGGTTACCTATTACCTAGGTTTTGTTTGTGCAAAAACTTTTCAATTTTATGTAATCAAAGTTGTCTACTTTATTTCTGTGATCCTCTTTATCCCATTTGGCCATGAACTCTTCTCTTCATAGATCTGAAAGGTCACTTCGCCATTGCTCCTCTAATTTTTTCTTTTTGGTTAGGCAATAGGGTTAATCGACTTGCCCAGAGTCACTAGTAAGTGTTATGTGTCTAAGGTAAGATTTAAACTCAGCTCCTCCTCAATCCAAGGCTGGAGCTTATCCACTGAGCCACCTAGCTGTCCCTTAACTTAAGAGTTTTCAGACTGTCAGTTACCCTCAACCTGGTTTAGCCCAGCTGCAGAGTTAATTTTACTTCGCTATTGTGCAATGCTACAACTTCCTGGAGCCACAGGTGAGGGTTGGGTGATAGATGGACACCAAAGGTGGATGAGCGGTTCAGCAAGGTCTCAAACTAGAGGGGCTAGTCCTCCCTGAACACTCCATATATCCCGGTCAAATATCCACTTGGAGCTCAGCTTGGTATATGGTATGAGATGTTGAACAAAATCTAATTCTGCCAGACTTCCAATTTTCCTAGAAGTTTATAATGAAGTCTTACCCTTGGTCTTTTGGGGAGAAGAGGAGAGAGGGGTTCATATAGGGGAGATGGCCTGGGAGAGAATTGAGGGTTGCAGGGACTGGAAATCAGTGTGGAAAAAGAACGGGGTTCGATAAGGGAAGACAGAGGGAGAGGTGGAAAGCCAATAGATTATGGTCAGAGAAGGGGATTTCAAAATTCTTTTTTTTTTATTTCAAAATTCTTGAACGTGGAGGTGGCACATTTGTGGCACATTAAAGGTACCACAATCTTTGCGTGTCACTGAGGCTTGCCACTGCTCCTGCTTTTCCCCAAGCCTGGTCATTTTGTTTATTATTAATTTATTAATTTTAAATTTTGAACATTCACTTCCACAAGATTTTGATTTTCAAATTTTCTCCCCATCTCGTCCCTCCCCCCACCCCAAGATGGCATGCATTCTGAATCTGGGTCATTTTGGGGAAGGAGGCAGGCAGTACGGTCCCAGGAGGGTGGTGGATTTTCCTCCCGGTCCTGACTTTCTGCAAGCCCCTGGGCCTTCTCCTCTGAAGTCTCTTCCTGGATGCTCATAGGCCTGGGAGCTTAATTAATCCCTTAATTAGGGATTTCCTTGGAACAGGACTTGTTTGGGTTTTTTTTTGTTTTTTTTTTGAACAGGACTTATTTAAAGCCCCAGAATGCAAGGAGGTGGTTCAAAGAGGGGGTGGCTGACGACTGGCTCAGAACCCCACCCTCCCCAGAAGTCTCCATCCTTCAGGAACCTGCAGCCCCCTCCCTGCTGACGTGTTCACGCAGCTTCCTAAGCAGGACGCCAAGAGAGCGCGAGAAGTAACCGGAAACCCCACCCCACCGCTCCGCGCTCAAGGCCCTCTACTTCCGTCAGGCCTGGAGGCGACGGGGTTTGTCCCGCGCGGCCACCCGTCCGCGCTTCGGCTCCAGCCCGCGAGCGCGCGTGGGACCGCAAGGAAGTGGGACCGGCTGGCTCCTAGCCGGGCCGCCTCGCAGGATGTGCTCCCTTTCGTTGTTTCCACCGTTACCGCCGTGGGGCCAAGTGACGCTTTACGAGTACAACAACGAGTTGGTGACGGGTGACAGCTATGAAAGCCCACCCCCTGACTTCCGGGGTCAGGTAACTTACTGGGAACACTAGGCCGAGAGAGAGGCGAGGGGTGGGGCTAGCGTGGGGGTGGAGCAAGGAAGAAACGGAATGAGAGGGAAGGCTCGGGATTGGAAGGTAAGGGTTTGAAATGGGTGGGGCTAGGTAAAGTGGGTGGGGCGAGCGCTTGGTCTAGAGCAGGCTTAGCCAGGGAAGGGGCGGGGCTACAAGATGTGGGCGGGGCTAAGCAGTTGCAGGATGGAGACTGCGAACCAGACTTGGGGTCTGCCAGTGGCCTGTGGTAGTCGCTTAATAAATGCTTATTGACTGATTTAATCCGGAGCTTCTTAACCTTTTTTGGATCCTGGACCCCCCTTAACAGTCTGGTGAAGCCCATGGACTCGTCAGAATCATGTTCTTAAATGCATGAAATAAAATACAAAACAAACCGATTATATGGAAATACACGTATCAAAATATTGAAACACACACACAAATTCACAGACCCCAGGTTAAGAAGCTATGATCAAATCTGATCCCTGCATTTTACAGATAAGGAAATTGAGGCCCAGAGATACAGTAAATAGAAAGGCCTGGATACAAAATCAGGTTTTACTCAATATCTAACAAATTTCCCACTTTACCACATATACTCTAACAAAGCACTTGACCTTTTCTAACTTGAGATTAATTTTGTTATGATTTTTTTTTTTTTTGCTCTATAAAGTAATTCTTTGGTACTTTGATTGGTGTGGCACTGGAAAGATAAATTAATTTAGGTAGTGTTCATTTTTAAAAAATATTTTATTGGCGTGGCCTTCCTATGAGCAATTAATATTTCTGCAGTTATTTAGACCTGTCTTTATTTGTGTGAGGAGTTCCAATGCCATTTCCACTATACTGTGTTGAGCCTTTTTTGAGGGAAGTTAGAGAGAAGGGATGGGTATTTTATTGGAGTTTGGAAGTTCATGTAAAGCCAAGGGATAGGGAGAGAGAAGCTAATTCCCTCTTCCTTGTGAAAATCTGCATCCACAGTGGATCAACCTTCCTGTTCTCCATCTGACAAAAGACCCCCTCAAGACCCCTGGTCGTCTGGATCATGGCACCAAAACTGCCTTCGTCCATCACCGTGAGAGTATCTGGAAGAGATGTATCAATGCTTGGTGAGGCCGGGGGCAGGAATCTCTGAGTCAGTAGACAAAGGGGAAGTTCTACCCTTCTCCTGCTGGCCTTTACTCAAATACTTTTGTCATTGTGGCTTCCCTTGGTCTAAACCATTTATCAGACCCTTATTACCTAACCTAACAAAAGATAAACCTTAGTCTGCGCTTCAAGGGTCTCTCTCTACTCTCTGACTCTGGTTCATCTGAGAGCAGTGGAAAGAGCCCTGGAGGTCAGAATCAGAAGAGCTGTGTTCAAGTGAATTCAGCTATTTACCACCTGTCACATCCTAGGCAAGTAAATGCCCTCTTTGGGCCTCAGTTTCCTCATTTGTAAAATGGGAGGATTGGAACAGATAGTCCCTTCTATGTATAAATTCTTGGATTTGTAGTTAATCACCTTTGACCCTTCCCCAGTCCTGTAAACTGGATGTGTCCCTCTCTGCCCCCTCCTCCGTCATCCCATCCAGCCCTGTGCTGTGCTGTTGTACAGACATTGTTGTATTCTGTTCATTTGTACTTGTTTATATTTGACAAGTATCCTTAGGACATTTTGAGTGTTACCTTCCCAGTTCTCCAGGACTGAGGAGTCCATCTCCTTTGTTGGGCCCTTATGCAGCGTCTAGTATGGTGCTTTGCACATAGAGACCACCCCAAACATACTTTTGAGTGAATGGCACGATTCTGATGCTCTGAAAGGCAGGTGTGGGGAGACAGAGGGCTGAGGGGAATGTGGAAGTCCCAGACTCGGCTTCTCTGTTCCTCGTAGGTGCGATGTGGGGGTTTCAGGCGTGTTGAATGAGGTTGCTAACTCCGAAGAGGAAGGTAAGTCATTCTCTTCTACTTCCCCGTCTCTTTTCCTCTGTAATGACTAATAATAACTGTTATGTAGAATGCATTAAGGTTCACAGAAGGCTTTCCTCATAAACTTCATTTGTCTTTTCCCACACGTATCCCCTTGACCTCAGCTCTTTTCCATTGCCCACCTTTGTGCTCCTTTCCCCTGAACCCCATCTTCATTATGTCTTTCACTTCCACTAAGTAGCCCATGGATGAAGTTCATATAGGGTGTCTCCAGGACAGATCATCTTGGAAAAGGCTCAGTCGAAGTTTAGAAGTGCCCAGTGCCCTGCATCAGATGTGTGATAAGTGCTGATTGGATGGTTCAGTGATAGCTGTCCCCTTCACCCCCACAGTGTTCAAGTGGGTGAAGACAGCATCAAGCTGGGCCCTGGCATTGTGTCGATGGGGCTCTTTCCTCCACGGGTCTCTGTTTCCCCATCTGTCAGTGAGTTTGTGCTCCCCCACCCCCCCCTTGTAACCCTTAAAAATGCTAAAGGTAGGATTGGGGAGTGAGGGGAGGAATAGTCTTGGTGACCATGGACTGTGCAGGGTGGGTTTTGATCCCTCTGGGAGAGAAAAGGGTTAAATCTCCCAAAAGGGGTGTATGTGTGTGGTGGGGTATCAATAAGAGGGTAGTATCCCTCTATCCTAGCATGCCCCATCCTCATTTCTTTATACCCTTACAGCTCAGGAGTGAAGATCTGATTGCTGAGTTTGCCCAGGTCACAAATTGGTAAGAGGATGACAAGAGGAGCTCCTGGGAGTTGGGAGACAAAAGCATAGCTTTGACACTTGTGGTCTGGGGGGTCGAGGGTTAGGGTTGAGATAATGTCCTGTCTCTCTTTCCCTCTCCCCCAACTGAGCAAAAATAGAATGGAAAAGAATCTGAGCTGAGATTGGGGAGCTTGGATCCCTCTTGCTCATGCTCGCTTACACCCCAGGTCAAGCTGCTGCCTGAGGGTTTTTGCCTGGCATCCTCATACCAATAAGTTTGCGGTGGTACTGTTGGATGACTCTATCCGGGTATACAATGCCAACAGGTATGTGTGGGTATGTGGGGCAGGGGAAACCAAGGTTTCCTGACTCTGTGATCACTTCCCTTTAACTTCCAGGGCTGGTTAGCTGGCTTTGGCTCCAGAAGACTCCTGGCCTTTTCCCTGTAGGATCCCCTTAAGAATTTAAGACTTTCCTATAGGTGGGGTGATTGTACGTGTGCATTAGGGGGGCACAACTGGGAAATCTCTGAAGTTCTTTGAGGGTTTGGCATGTTTCCTTTTCCCAGACCCTGCTTTTACAGCTTTCTTGTGTCCATCCTTCCCCCTTAGACCTATTTCCCTAAGTGACCCCAAGTTCCCTTTTCGTCTCTGTCAACCCCTGCTCCTATCTGTGGACCTCTCCTTCTTTGTCCTCTCCTCTCAGCACCATAGTCCCCTCTCTGAAACACCGGCTACAGCGAAATGTGGCTGCTCTTGCCTGGAAGCCCCTCAGTGCCTCAGTGCTGGCCGTGGCCTGTCAAAGCTGTATTCTCATCTGGACCCTGGATCCCAACTCCCTGTCCACCCGGTAAGTTCCTTCCTTTGTCTGACCCCACCCTATCCTGAGGTTTCCCCACATGTCTTGGTGAGCCTAAGGGCTTTTGTGAGTGTGGGGATGGGAGGAGACTACCCAGAAGGAAAAGAAAACCAGCCTTTTCCCTCTGGGAACTCTGAGGCTAATAGGGCAAATAGAACACAGAACCCAGAGAGAGAGAGAGAGAATCAGAGACTGAATTCAAGGCAACAGATGAGGGATGGGAAGAGGGGGAGGTGCCAGAAACCACAGGAGGAAGATGAGGTTTAAAAAAAAAAAAAAGAGGCTTCCTAGATAGAGCCTGGAATCAGGAATCAAATCCTGGGATGGGATCTGAAAGGAGTAGGGAGGAGAGGTCATGTCACCATGTGAAGCTCCAGGCAGAAAAGAGCCAGGCATCATTTGGAAACAGGGAATAAGTCTGCCCAGTACAGGCTCTGGGCTGAAAAGATGATTAAAAGATAGCAAGGTGATGCAGTAGATAGAATGCTGGCCCTAGTAGCTGGAAGGCCCGAGTTCAAATCTCAGACACTTAGACACTTGCTAGCTGTGTGACCCTGGGTAAGTCACTTCCCCTCTGTGTGCCTCATTTTCCTCATCTGTAAAATGGGGGTACTAATAGCACCTCCCTCCCAGTGTTGTTGTAAGGATAGACTGAGAGAATAATTGTGAAGTGTTTGGTGCAGTGCCTAGCACATGACAAATGCTGTATGAATTTTAGTTATTATTGTAAGAAGGGAAAGAGATTCTCATCAACCACACTGCTTATACCCCTATTCAGTGGGTTTCTTGCAGACTGCAGTCACAACAACCTTAACCTCATTAATCTAGTATTTCCTAACTTGACAAGTCAGGAGATCTTTCCTTCTATAATTTTTATTTTTAAAAAAAGGATTAATTCTCATTTTTACACCACCTCCATTTTCGAACATATTCCTTGACTCCCTACTATGGTACCATCCCTCATGACAAAAAGAGAGAAAAAACTGTGTCCACAGTTGCGTCCCCTTCGCCCCCCACCTTGGCAAAGGTTAAGGAAGCTCCTCTGACTGTACTGGGGACTTCTTCCTCATCATCTCCTCTTCAGTGGGATGGGGACGTTATGTTTTCATCCTCTGTCCTTTCCCTGATCTCATCCTTGGACACCATGATCCTTCTTTCTCCTCTAACTTAGAGGGACAATGGATGGCCTTGAAGGGTTGAAAGTTTCTGACTGAGATCCAATACAGGGAAGATGGGAAGCTGGACTCCTGGGTTTCTTTGGGCCACCTTGTCACCTTCTTCTTAACTTCCAACCCTTGCAGACCCTCTTCAGGCTGTGCCCAGGTGCTTTCCCATCCGGGGCACAGCCCTGTCACCAGCCTGGCCTGGTCCCCTAATGGAGGACGACTGCTTTCAGCCTCACCTGTAGATGCTGCTGTCTTGGTGAGTTGTTCCCCAACCCTCAAGTATCCCTTTTGTTTCTGGAAAAGACCATTTTACCTGACCATGGAAAGTGGGGGAAGGCTGGGTTTGGAATTCTATTTTCTATAGTCCAGGTTGTAGTCAATAAGCATGTATTTCTTAGGCGCTTGTTCTGTGTCAGAAACAGTGCTGAGTCCTGGAGATATAGAGAAAGACAGCTCCCCTCCCCCAAAACAAACAAACGAACAAACATTCCTTGCTCTCAAGGAGCTCACAATCTAATGGGGGAGACACTGTAGAGACCAAGATATTGCAGGATAAATTGAAGAGAATCTCAGGGGGAGGGCATTAGTATTAAGGAGGACCTGCACAGGTTTCCTGCAGAAGGTGGGATTTTAGTTGGGACTCAAGGAAGACCAGAGAAGCCAGGATGCAGAAAGGAGGAGGCAGGGTTCCAGACCTGGGGGACAGCCAGTGAAAAATAAATGGACGGCAAGGGAGCCAGTGTCACAAGCAGCTTCAAGGTCATGGAGGGGAGAAAGGTGCAAGAAGACTGTAAAGGCAGGGAGGGCCAGGTTATGTGGGGTTTTAGAAGCCAAAAAGAGGATTTTATATTTTATTTTGGAGGTAATAGGGAGCCCCTAACATTGACTGGATAGGGGGTGGACACGGTCAGACCTAGGCTTTAGAAAGATCATTTTGACAGCCTAGGGGAGGATGGACCCAAGTGGGAAGGAATTGGAGGAGGGAGGTCAACCAGCGGGTTATTGCAGCTGTCCAGGTGTGAGGTGAAATGAGGCTGTACTTAGCACAAACATATTCCCTACAATCCCTTAGTTCCCAGCTCTCCTGCACCTGTAAAAGCCCTTTGGGAAATAATTGGGAATATTTGAGCCCCTTCCCTTGAATACCTTCTCCCCATGCTTCCAGGTGTGGGACATCTCAACTGAGACCTGTGTTCCCCTTCCCTGGTTCCGGGGAGGTGGAGTCACCTATCTGCTTTGGTCCCCTGATGGCAGCAAAGTTTTGGCCACCACACCTTCTGCAATCTTCAGGTGAGTGAGGAGTCAGAGAAAGCAGACAGGCCTTTCTTTGGCTCTGCCCAGCACGGGACAGACATTTTGGAATTTCTAGAGTGCTTAACCAAACCCCTCCCTCTCCGGTACAGGGTTTGGGAAGCCCAAATGTGGACCTGCGAGAGGTGGCCTACCCTGTCGGGGCGTTGTCAGGTACAAAGGGTTCCCAGGACCTTCTGGGAGTGGGTGGGCCACAGTCACCAGTTGTCTTTCCCATCAGGACATCGTTTCCCCACACTACCATCACCAGGAGGCTACTTCTGTCGTTTCTCAGTAACTGACACCTTTTCTTCCGTCCTCAGACTGGCTGCTGGAGCCCAGACGGGAACCGCCTGTTGTTCACAGTTGTAGGAGAGCCTCTAATCTACTCCTTGACTTTCCCCGAGCACAGTAGTAAGAAGTGCCTTTGAGGGAGAATGGAGGGCCTGGAACATTTTTAATAGACCCAACCTTTGGGGGACTGGGAGGAAAGTAGGGGAAAATGGGATAGTCAGATTCCCAGGAGGATGGGCCAAGGGCCCATCTCTCCCTCTACCTCTCAGGGCCCGAGGTTGGAGGGGTCTCATCATGTACCCTTTCCACAGGGGAGGGAAAAGGGCAGGTTGGAGGCGCCAAGACAGCTACCATAGTGGCAGATCTGTCCGAGACAACAATACAGACACCCAGTGGGGAGGAAAGGTAAACAAGAGGCAAGGGCCATGGTGGGTGAAGGGTGGGAAGGACCCCTCTGCCTTCTCCCCTTCACCTTTCACTATGTTCTCTAGGCTGGGGGGAGAAGCTCATTCCATGGTCTGGGACCCTAGTGGAGAGCGTCTGGCTGTGCTCATGAAAGGTAATGGGATGAGAAGGGGGACAACCCACACCAACTCTGCCCATCAGCCTGTCTCGAGTTCTTCTCTACTCTGAATCTGTCCTTGTCACCCATTTTGCAGGAAATCCACATGTCCAGCATGGCAAACCCGTTATTCTGCTGTTCCGAACCCGGAATAGCCCAGTGTTTGAACTGCTTCCCTGGTGAGTATTGCTTGGTCCTCCCTGGACCCTATCACCATTTTCTCTCTGCCCTTCTCATTTCTTCCCCATCTTGTTTCCCAGTGGTGTTGTACAGGGGGAACCAGGAGCCTGGGCCCAGCTGATCGCCTTTCACCCATCCTTCAACAAAGGAGCCCTGCTTAGTGTGGTAAGGGGGGGGATTCCCAGCTGTTCTGGTGGGTAGAGATAGGATAGGGATGAGAGGTTTTGAGTTGGGGTTGCTGTAGTTTGGTTTGATACTTCATCCTCCCCCTTGGAATTTCTCCACAGTGTTGGTCCACAGGCCGGATTGCCCACATTCCCCTGTATTTTGTGAATGCCCAGTTCCCACGATTTAGCCCCATGCTGGGCAGGACCCAGGAGCCTCCTGCTGGGGGAGGTGGCTCTACCCATATGCCCCTGTTTACTGAGTCAGCTCCCATCTCTAGCCCCTGGGACCCCTCTTCAGGAACTTCTTGGTCCAACTCCCCCACTGGCCGTCTTTAATAAACATTCTCTTTATTTCCCTTCCTTTCTGGTTTGTTTTCTTTAATGAAGTAGGGACTAGGCACTTTAGAATGAGGAGACTAAAGAGACTAGAATACAATCACTGTGCTGAGAATTTTACTGAGAGTCATCAGAAGGCAGAGGTGTCAGGCGCTGGGCCAGAGTGGCACGGGCCATACTCAGGGCACCTTCTCTGGTGCGGTGGCCACCGATGAAGCCATTGGCATGAACAAAAATGCAGCCAGGGATCCCACTAATCTGGTCCAGGGCCTCATCCCGAAGGCCCTGCCATTGCTCAGGCAGGGGCAGCCTGTGAGCAGAGAGAGCACACTGGAGGTGGAGCAAGGGAGAACTTAAGGGACAGATGGAGTACCCAAAGATGGAAGGACTGTGATAAGGGGCAGAGCTGGAAATTGAGGCAGCGTCCATCAGCTGAGGAGTGACTGAACAAGCGTTGTAAGAAATGATAACGGGGATGGTTTCAGAAAAACCTAAGAAGACTTGTATGAACTGAAGCAGAGAGAAGTAAGCAGAGTCAGGAGAACAATTTATACACTAAGAACATCATAAAGGCTTAAGAACCCTGAAAAAAGCAATGACCGACTGTGACTGTGGGAGGCCAAGGATAAGCCATGCTACCCACCTCTTGTCAGAGAGGTGGTGGACTCAAGCAGAGCGATTCATCCATTTTTGGACGTGGCCAACATGGGAACTTGTTTTGCTTGACTATACACATTTGTTACAAATGTGTATTTTTTTCAGTGGGGGTATGTGTATAGAGATAGAGAAATAAATGTCAATTGAAAAAAATAAGCTAAGCAAAAAAAGATAAGGTGCAGTGAAGGGATATGTGATGTTTGGAGGGCAACAAGCCTCAAAGGACTGGGAAAGGACCTGAAGGTCTGTGGGGCCTTACCTGCTCTCAAAGGAGTGAAGCTCTTTTGGTACACACTGTACACGCCATTGTCCATTCTGGTCAGTGTAGAGCACAAATGCAATGGGCACTGAGGGGGTAAGCCCAGGTTCAAGATCAAACAAATGGTCCTTCCAGGGACAGCCACCTTGAGACAGCTCTATAATTTCTCCACTTGGGTCCACCTTTCGGAAGAAAGTGGAATCAGACCTCATCCTCTTACTGCCAATAGTAACTATGTTTAATGGAGTTGTGACCTCTCTTAAAAACAAAACAACAAAACACCCCAGCCAGATTCCCATACCATCTCAAAGGAGATATGTAAAGGGCTCAGCACAGTGACTGATACACACTAAGCACTTAATAAAGGCTTCTTCCCTTCCACACCTGGAATCGATTTGTTAAGGCTTGTTCCACAAGGGCCCGAGCAGGCAGCCAGCTGAGCTTATAGAAATCCAGTCTCTGTAGAAACTCCTCACGTACTAGCTCCATGGCACGATGAAAGCCGGCCTGTGAATGGGAGAAAAGTCAGCACTTGGTTGCTGACCTTGCCAGGAATTAACCATTTTCCTCCGATGCCCTTTTAGTCTCTCAGCCCCTCACTTCTCCACATTCCTTCTTCCTACCTCTGTGTCCTGATTTGGCTGGTTCCAGGTGGGGTTAAGCCGGGCAACTCGAGCACTCAAGGTGGTGGTCAGCGCATATCGAGGCTTTCCTCCCTCCCACTGGGAGATCCCATTGTCCACCGCATCTACTTCCTCCACAAAATATTCATACATCTGTTGGAAAGGACAAGGGTTTGGGGGCTGGGTTACTTAAGGAAGGAAGGCAAGTCCCTTCTCAGTGTAATTTCAGGGAAGTGGCTTCAAGGGCACAACCACCCTTTTGTTCCAACATTATCCCTGGTTGACAAATGAGGAACCTTGAGGCTTACAGTGTACAAGTGACTTGCCCTAAAGCAGTTAAAGAGTGGTAGAGCTGAGACTATGCCCATCATCTTTCTGGAGGCCTCAGGACTGAGGAGATTTGCTGACTTAGAGTCTAGAAAAAGTACTTTTCATGGTAGACTGGTCATTACTTTCTTATGGGAGTTTGTGCAAGCTGCCCCACACCTCTCTGAGCCTCCCTGTCTTCAGGTAAAATGGCGATAACACCTGCCCTTCACCATGTGAAGAAATACAGTAACCTGTCAAAGTGCTTTGGAAAGTGCAAAATGAGGCTCAAATGTCTCTCCAACATGAAAAACAATGCTGCAGCTTCTCTATGTGACGGGATCTTCTAATGACCCTAGACAACATGATATGGTGAGAAGGGGCACTAGATCTGCAGCCAGAAAGCTTGAAACATGGTTCTAAAACATGGACTGATTAGCAAAATAAAAACAACTGCTTTACCTAGTGCTTTCATTTCAGATACAGAAAGGAATGTGGTACGGGTAACCCAGGGTGTCGGAAGTTTCTGAAATGAGTTTACATGTGGCGGGAGAAATACAATATTTTTTTTTCATCACAATAGATTTATGTTTCTAATATTTATCTAATAATAAACAATAGCACCTATATGGAAAACTAGGCTTTTAGTAAAGCTATCTTCTCAAACAACCACCACAAAGCAGGTATTACATTATTTCCATTTTAATGATAAAGAAAATAATGTTCATCATTGAGGTGCTATGCCCCAAGTTCCTGGCGAATTCAAGCTTTCTGGCTTCAGATCTACTGTCTTTTTTCACCAGATCATGTTGCCTGGTTCCTGTACTGCCCAGGGCTACAAAGGGTTTCTATATTCTCAAAAACATTTAAATTTTATTTTAAAATGTAAAAACCATTCTTAGCTCAGCACTGCACAAAAGCAGGCTGGACTGACTCCTGATTTGGGCTGGTAATTTCAAGTTTCCTGAGGGTGCAGTAACTGAGGAGTGTGTATTTGTGTGAGTAGGGAAGACTGACAGGAAGGTTAGTCAAGGGCTGAAAAACTGACTATACATGATCCACATCTGGAGGACAGACAACCATCCTTGTTTTTTAAATGGGGGACTGCTCATTTTTACTTTTCCTAAAAGTCCCTGGACCCAGCTGGGTCTTCTGATTTCTGGCCTAGTGTCCTTGCTACACCCCAGCATGGAGGAGTGGTAGGAATAATAATAATAACTGATGATGATGAGCGTCATTTCTGTTATAAATAGCTTATAACGGCACTAGGACTTTTAGACACCCTCTATGGTGCGTTGCATGGCATCTCATTTGATCCTAAGACAATCCTGGGAGGTGGGCTTTTTTGACCCCCATTTTACTGAGGAGAAAACTGAGGCAGAGCCAGAATGCATGGCCATTTCTGCCTAGCTGCCCACGCAGGCTTGTGCTTCTGACGTGGAGGGCAACAGCCTTGGCTCGCCCCTCGGGGCTCCCCACCTTGTCAAAGAGAATATCCACAATTCGGTCATCTATACCGGTGCCCAGCAGCTGGGCCAGGAGCCTCTGGCCAAAGTGCAGATAAACCAGTCCGGCGCTGCTCAGCTTCGTCTGCCACGGCTTCCCGGGCCGCAGGGAGCTCATGGACTCGGTGAAGGACCTGGGGAAAGGAGCAAGGCGGGCTGAGAGGGGCCGCCGGGGCAGCCCGGCCGCGCGCGGGAGGCGTGGGGCGCGTGGGGCGCGAGCCCGCACCTCTGGTGATGGTCATAGCGGTGCCTCTGCGGGTCGTACTCGCCGCCCACGTCCACCACCACGTCGCAGGTGGCCAGCAGCGCCGGGTCGCGGGTACGCAGGATCTCCGCCTCCTGAGGGGACAAGGACAGGGGGCAGGGGCGTGAGGCGCGCGCGCGGGGAGAGGAGAGAGAGGTGCCCCGCCCCACCCCCCGGGCCCCGCGCGGGGGCGGCCGGCCGCGGTACCCGGTACTCGGGCAGCAGCCTCAGCAGCGCGCACGCCAGCGCCTCGTCGCAGTGGAAGGTGCCATTGTGGGTCCCGATGCGGGGCCGGGCCGGCGCCATGGGCTCGGCGCGGGGCCGCTTGGGGGACGGGGGGGGGCTCGAGGCCCAGCCCGCGAGAAGCCCGCAGCGGTGTGGAGGGAAGCGCCAGGAGGAGGACGCTGCGCAGGAAGACGTGACCCATGCGGCACTCGGGGGGGCGGGGACCCCGCGAGTAACCGGAAGAGCGTGTACCACTTCCGCCCCGCAGCCGTTCTCGGGCGAAGCTCTGTGGAGCGTGGAAGCGCGGATCCCGGGCCCGCCGCGGGAGCTGGGTACGACTCCCAACCCGCGGGCCCCACGGACACCATCCACAGAGCGCCTTCAGCCCGGCCGAAGGCACAGGGTTAGTGCTGAGGCGGACTGTGCGGCGCCGGAGTCATTTCCGGGGCCTCGCAGTTTGACCTCGCCCTTCCCCCCCCCCGGGGTCAGTGTAGGGTGAGAAAAGCGACTCGAGATCCGGCTGGATCCGGCAGACACTTTTATTGGCTCTGTACACGTGCTCTCGGCTCCACCCAACCCCCTTCCCCCCAACCCCTCTCAGGCTTTGGCCGCGGCTGCCTGGGACGCCCCCAGCGCTGTGAGCTGCTGAATCTTCTGGCTCATCATCTCCACGATTGCTGCAGGGAGAAAGCGAGAGAGGGAGGGTCTGGGGTCAGGGATCGGGGCGAGCCGGAGAGCGCCCCCGTGCTCCTGGGCAGGGCCTCCCGAGCACGCCCACTCCCGCTCTCCAGCCCCAGCCTGCATCTAGCAAGGTGGGCGCCAAGCCCCAGGCCAGGGCTAGATGGCAGCCGCACGTTCTTTGGCCAGGGAGGGTCCCCAAGAAAGAGAAACACAAAGACCGGCCAAAAGCCCTGGGGGGCCTCTTTCTGTTTCTGCAGGTAAACAGCAAAGTCCGTGCTAAGAGTTTCTTGATCCTCCGTGATTCCAGTATAAAGGTGAGCACAGGAAAAGAGTAATGACAGGCTGGAAAATAGAGTTTGGGATTCCATGAAAGAAGCCTAACTACCCTCATTACTTTCCTCAAGAAAATTCTAGTGAGACTTCTGGCCAGCAGGTCTGCCTACTGTAGCAAAACCCTTAGGTTCACACCAGATAGTGACAGAGACTTAAAGGAAAGCCCTGGTGAAAGGTAGCCTCCAGTGGGGCCAGACTCTTATAGGACAGGCCTCACCTGGAAGGCTTTGTGTCTTGGATCAGAAAGACCAGAGGGTCTCTCCCAGATAGCACCAGGATGATCATAAAGTCCCCTGGAGAGGCAGTCAGTCAATAATCGTTTGTTATATAATAATAATTATTATTATATATTATAGCCTACTAGGTGCTAGGCACTGTGCCAACCACTGGGGATGCAAAGAAAAGCGAAAGAAAAAAAAAACCAAAAAAAACCCAAAAAACAAACCCAGCCCACAATCTATTAAGACAACAGGCAAACAACTAGGTACAAACAAGATATATACAGGCTAAGTTAAAGTTATTCAACAGAAGGGAAAGCGTCAGCATTTTGGGAATGATCAGGAAAGGCTTCTTGGAGAAGGAGGGACTTTAGGCTGGTGTCTGAAGGAAGGTAGAGAAGCCAGAGGGAGAGAATTCCTGGCATGGGGGAAGAGCCAGTAAAAAGGCACAGAACTGGCAACAGGATAAGGGAGCAAGGGATTCAAGAGACCAGGACAGTGAGAAGTTTGACTGGTTCACTACCCAGTGCTGCCAAGGCCATGGCCTGGGAAAGAACTAAGGGTGCAGGAACTAGACATTACAGTGAGAAGAAAGAACAGGATTTGGGATGGAAGGCTGAGGGAGAGGTAGAATGACAACAGATTATGATCAAAAAGGAAATTTCAGAGTTCCTAAGACATGGAAGTGGAACACCTGTGGGTGATGAAAAGATCAATTATCTCTATTGTAGCGGAGGCAGAGTGGAGGATGACGTCATTGGATATGAGTAAGCTGAAGAAATGAGAGGTTTGTGTGTTTGAAGGAGTATCAATATATACAATAACTTTTCCTAGTATGAGGACAGGAGTTGGGGAAGAAAGAAAGATTATGAGCCAGACAGTGAACTTGTTGAGGAAAGGAGGAGCATGTCTCAGAGGTCAGTGGATGACAACTACTAAATGTGATTAAGTTTAATGAACCCAAAGTAGGGGAGGTTACTAAGTAATGGAGGTAGAGGGAGAGCCTGAAGAATAAATGGGGGGGAGAGGGGGAAAGGAACATTCTAACACCCCCACCCCCACCAGGGCTAAGAGAGAAAATCTGCCCAGAACTGAAAAAGGTAGCCAGAGAAAGTCATTAAGAGGGAGCCAGGCCTCAGTAAGCAAAAGACAATGGAAGAAGTGGGAAAGGAAAAGGTTTAAGATGAGCAAGTTTCTTGCTTATGAAGCAGGCATCCACAGAGCGCAGAGTAACTACTGGGGTGCAGCAACCTTCAGGTCAGAAGGGCCCAGGCCCAGATACCCTGAGGTCTTCGAGTCAGAAATCTGAACCTCAAAGATCCACAGGGGCCTAACTCTTTGAGGTGGAGGTGAGCATGAGAACTCAAGTAAACCAGGGCAAGACCAAGCAGGACCAACCACACCATCCAAAAGTGCAGCAGGGGCAGAGACTGGGTCTTGTACAAAGTCCAAATCAGAAACTAAGAAAGGTAAACCTTACCCAAGTAAAGGGGGACCCCTGAAAACTACAACAGAACAAAGAGAAATCAGTTGTTCCATATGACAGCTAGAAAAAGTAAATAAAAAGCCCCCACAAAAATCTAAAATAGTTAATAACCAAAAAACAACTGGCCCAAGTAAGAAGAGATAATTTGAGAATTATTGGACTCCCTGAAAACTACAATAAAAAAACAGACTGGACACAGTCCTTAAATTGCCCAGATCTATTAGAACAAAAGAACAAAGTAAAAACAAAGAATCTACCAATCACTTCCTGAAAGGACTTTCAAAAGGCAAAGTATGAAGAATTTGATAACCAAAATTCAGAACTCTCACATCAAAGAAAGAATACTGCAAAGCAACTTGAAACAGTTCAAGCACCAAGAACTATAGGCAAGATAATACAAGACCTGGCAGCTTTTACTGAAAAATGAGAGATCATGGAATACAATATTCCAAAAGGCAAAGAGACAAACTTACAAGTAACAATAACTTACTCTGCAAAGATTAATATAATATACAGGGGGAAAATGGACCTTTAATGGGAGAGGACTTTCAAGAATTTCTGATGAAAAGACTAGAGCTGAGTAGCAACTCTGAAATGCCAACACAAGAAAGTCCAGAGAAACGTAGAAAGGTAAATTGATCTCAGCAATTGGAGGGAACTCTTATGATGTGATAATATGCTAATGGGGGAGAAGAAACAAACATCTCTTGAGAACCTGAATATATTCAAACAGTATTGAGAGTTCAACATGAAAAAGAGGTCCTGTAGGTGGAATGGCTATTCTGAGGGGTATTAAGAGGGTAAAGAGAAGGCAAGGAGAACATGACATGTATGAACAGACACAGAATGAAGTGGTTCCAATGAGAACAATTTTTTCCCAGAGAGCAACACTGTAAAGAAACAACTTTGAAAGACAAGAACTTGGATCAATGCAATGATCAACTTTGTCTGCAGAGACACAAGTTACAGACATACACTCTCTTAGACACAGCCATTCTGTGGATTCTTTCTGTTTGACTGTGCTTCTTAGTAAGTTTTTTCTGTCAGTCAGGATTACATGTCCAAAGGAAGAGGGCCACTGTGATATTTTTTTTTTAAATACATAGAAGAGAAGGAAATTATGGGGGAGGCAGACAAGCAGGACAGTGTTAACAGTAATGTGTAGAATTTACTACATTCTTTTAAAAAAGCAAGCAGCATGAAAGGGAGACTGGTCATTTCATACAGAACTCTCTTTTGTGTTCTGCTATGTGTGAAAGTATGAAATACCTTTTTTTGGTGGTTGAGTTCAGAATAAAATTTTTTAAAATTAAAATTATACTAAAGATCTTTGCATTGGAAAAAGATTCTAGGTTTACTAAATTAGGACCTATTTTTGGGCAAAGGAACCATACCAAGTATCTTTTAATTCTGGCATAAATACAAATGACCTCAGTGTTCCAAATTAATTAGGGAGAAGGCAATAAGAGCATTGATACATATGTTAATTATTGTGCCTGCCCTCTGAGATTACCTTCCACAATATATAACTTGAATGTACAATTCTTTGCATGCTATCTTCCCTATTAAAATGAGCTTCTTGAAGGCAGGAATATGTTTTTGCCTTTCTTTGTATTCCAGGATTTAGTCTAGTGCCTGACATATAGTAAGCACTTAATAAATGCTTGTTGACTTACAAGAATAAAAGAGTTGTAAGTGCTAGTGAGCAGTATCACAAAAATGAAAATTATAGCTTGAGAAATTAATACTTAGCATATTACCCGTGTCTTTGCCCCACCTAATGGCAATCAATCCATCAATCAGCAAGCATTGTGTCCCTATGGGCCAATTATTACTAGGCCCTGGGAGTGCAAATAAAAAGACAGTTCGTGCATTCAAGCAGCTGGAGGAATATAACATGTTTACACATGAGTAAATATGGGATATATGCAAAATAAATACAAAATGATTTGGGGGTGGCAATAACAACTGGGAAAATCAGGAAAGGCCTAGAATAGTCTAGTCAGGGAGGATAGCCTTTGCAAAGTCATGGAGATGGAAGATGTAATGTCTTTTACAAGGAAAAGCAAGTAGTTCAGTTTGCTTAGAATTTGCGCATTAGGGACAGCAACGTGTAATATGCCTGGAAAGATAGGCTGGAACCAGGTTGGGAAGTTTTAAATGCCAGTCAGAAGAATCTGAGTAGCCACTGAAGCTTCTCGAACAGGGCAGTGATATGGTCAAACCTACATTTTAGGAATATCAGTTTGACAGCTATGTAGAGGTTGGACTAGAGAAGGGAAAGACTAGAGGCAGGGACAAAAATATATTAAACTCTGCATACCCTTTGACTCCGTGATATTGTTAACTAGGTTTCTACTCCAAAGAGATCCAAGAAAGAGGAAAAGGACTCATATATACAAAAACATTGATGGCAGCTCTTTTTGTGGTGGCAAAGAATGGAAAGCTAATGGGATGCCTATCAATTGGGGAATGGCTGAACAAGTTATAAATTTGATGGAATACTATTGTGCTGTCAAGAAATGATGAAAGGGATGGTTTCAAGCAAACCTGGGAAGACTAATGCACAGTGAAGTGAGCAAATCAGGAGAACAATATATACACTAACAACCAACCATACTGTAAAGAAAATCAACTTTGAAAGGCTTATTAATTCTGATCAACACAATGACCAACCATATTTCCAAAGGACTCATGATAAAACATCCTATCTATCTCCAGATAGAGAACTGATACTCAATGCACACTAAAGGTTCTTTTCTTCCTGACATGGCTAATTCTAGAATTTGTTTTGCACGACTTCACACATTTGTAATGGGTTTTATTTTTCATGTCTTCTCAATGGATAGGAAGGTGAAAGAGGGTGGGAAAGAATTCAGAGGTGAAAATAATATAAAATTAAAAATGAAAAAGACTTGAGGCAGGGGGACCAATTAGAAGGCTCCTGTAATAGTTTTCGTAAAAGTTAATGAAGGCCTGAAATAAGGTGGTTTATAGCATCAGAAAGTGATAGATGTGAGAGATACTGAGAAGTAGTACCAACAAGACTTGGCAGCTGAGTAGCTATGAGGGGGACAGTAAGAGTGAAGAGTCAAGGCTCATTCAACCAACACATATTTATTAAGAGCCTATTATGTGCCATGGAAAATGACTTCTAGATTCTAGATCATCATGAAGGTAGTAATGCCTTCCAAAGAGAAGTCAGGAGCAGAGATAGGTTTAGGAAAAAAGATAATGAGTTTTTGAACATGTTGAGTTTGAGAGGCCTATGTGACAGGTGTTGCAGAGGTGCAGATCTGGAGCTCAGAAAAGAGCTGATGGCTGGATACAGTTTGGAGAACTGTCTGCACGGAGACATAACTAAATTCATGGGAGGTGATGAGATCACTAAGACAGTATAGAGAGAAAAGAGGAAAAGGCCTAAGAGAGAACCCTGTGACACACCTATGAATGCAATTACAGCAGTTCCAAACTGACCTATTCAAACAAGCTGTTGATTCTGAAAAATGGGAAACAGATCCCAGTAAAGGCAATGTTTCAATTGTCACCAATTCTTAGAGAAGTTTAACTAACACAATGAAAAGCCTTGAAACCACCTCAGCAAGCAAATTCAATGAGACATGGGAGCTAAGGGTAATACCAGCTTAGGGTATAAGTTTATCTTCAAAAGCTACATACATAGGGCAGTGGAAGATTATGAAGTATGTACCCCTTGCCTCTTCACACACACACACAAAAAAAGCAAAAGCAGTAGAAAGGAAACAAGCCTGTAGAACAATTACAATGACCAAAAAGCTTAGTCTTAGAGAAAAGTTGAGAAAATGCACATCCTAGCCCCTTCTTTGCAGAGGCAAGAGACCATGGGTATTGGTTTCTTTGCTCAACTAAATCCTTTCTTCTCTTCCTCTTGTAAAATTCCCTGTTACAAAGGATAACTCAATGGAGATGGGGGTATTTTCCAAAATGAAGGTGATTTAAAAAAACCAAAAGATAACAAAAATTTAAATACTTAGTTGATTAAGATCAGAGAGTGTTTATGGATGAAACTACAAAGAAGGAAAATACTTATGAAATGAATCAGCTCTGTTCATGTTGCCATCATAGTATCAGTTATCATAATTAGTGATACTAATTAAAACAATGTATCTGGACTCCACCACTTCAATGAAGAGGAACCGGCACTTCAGATGAAGTCAGAAAGAGTGGCTGGACATAACTAAATATATATAGAATAAACCTCTTTAGTATTTCCTTTTTTTCCCCATTGCACTTTTATATTTTGTTCCTCTCCACAGTGAGGCTGGCTGGAAGGGGCTCACTGGTGAGGCCCCAAGCCAAGAACAGGTACAGGCAGCCTTGACAGAGCGTGATCTATATATGTGAGTATCTGGGGTGGAAAGAGGGACAAGAATGGGGTCATCTAGGTCCTGTTGCCCTTTCTTGTGGGGGTCTCTCAAAAGCTGAAGCTGCAGAACTCTCATTTACTGAGTAAAGTTATGCAGAAAGGAGCGGTTGATGATGTAGGGTAGTAGGTTGCAGTTTGTACCACGGAGGGAGCACCCGCACCCACAGATCTTCTGAGGTAAACATATGTTTTTTATCCCCTACTAAACTGGGGCCACCCCCAGAGCAGGCACATCTTCTCCTTTCGATGAATCTCTCCACAAAGGCCAGGACAACTCTATTCACAGAAGGGTAACTGCCCAGTCAAGCACATATGACACCCAGAGAACAACAAAAGCAACAGAGAAAAATGGGAAGACAGTGATATTCCTGGAATCAAACAAAAAGGAGGTTCACTTGTCCTCGAACCCATGGCCTCACCCTGCTTCATGGCATGCTTCTCCTGCAGAGCGGGCTGAATTTTTTCCATCTGCTTAGTGAGGAAGTCAATCTTCCTCTTGAAGAAGTCTTTAGCATCATCTGCTGACTGCCAAAGGAGAAGAAGTTAATGACCCTTGTGGACTCTTGGGGACAGGCTTGTCCCACGGTCAGTGATGCTATCTCCCACCCCCTCCTCTCTCACCAACTTACCTTCTCCACATAATAGCCAGTTCCTACATCAATGAGAACATGCTCCACATCATGTAGCTTTCCAGGTACATACATCTGATGTGTGAGGATTAAGGAAAGGGCTAGCCCAGCCTGGGACACCTTCACTTCCCCTCTCAAAAGCCAGGAAACACATGATAATCCAGGAGTTCTGAAGCTAGAGAGTTGTTAACTTAGCATAGAATGAAATGGATAAAGGAGAAAGGTCAAGGGATTCTCTGTGAACCCTAGGAAACTATAAGGTGCCCATAATTGAAAATTCCAACTCCACCTTCTCACAATCAAAACTAAATTCATTTCTGTTCCTGAAATGTTACTCCCATTAGCACTCACAGACTGATAAAGGATAACTTTCCACAAGCCTACTGAATATATGGACAGTGGATAGGTAGCACAGTGGACAGAGCACCAGTTCGAATTTGGCCTCAGACACTAGCTGTGTGACCCTGGGCAAGTCATGTAACCTGTTTGCCTCAGTTTCCTCATCTTTAAAATAAGCTGGAGAAGATATGGCAAACCACTTTAGTATCTTTGCCAAGAAGATCTCAAATGGGGTCACAAAAGAGTCAGACATAGCTGAACACCACCAGCAAATATAAAAACCAGGCCTCATTTCCCAACCCACCAACAACTTGGCTCTTAATTTACATATAAAGCAAATTCTATGAAGTCATTCAATGTCTATTAGTCAACTATCTTCCATCTGCAGTTACTTCTGCTCTACAGTTTAAGGAAGTCTATTAGACTACAAAATACAGGGATTTTTCTCTATAACCTGACTTACACAGTGCCCAGAATAGTCTTTTGAAGTGTACTGACATAAGGTAAAGGGATAGTTAATCTCACAGTGTGTGAATACACACACTGTCTTCTTCCTTCCCTCATCTCTATTCCTCTGTGACTTGTATATACTTTATAACTCATTTTGTTTTACTAATAAGCTCCTAAGAGGCAAGGATATTGCTTGATCTCAGCTCTACCTATCCTGTGGTAGCCAGGATGTTGCCTTATACTTAATCTGATTCATGGACCCCAGTCCTCAAAGGGCCAGTATAAACTTGAATCAGAGAGTTAGAATTAACTCTTTCCCTTTCCACAGGCCACCAGAACTTAAACATCTGAAGAGAGCTCAGGTTAGAATGACAGCAGAGTAACCGAGGAACATCCTCTGGCACCACGAGAGGGAGCTATTCTCTCAGTCAAGCACGGAAAGGATTCTGCCGGAGGAACCAAAACCGTTTTCTAGATGAGAAGGATACCGAACTGGTCAATGGGACGAGTAATTCTTTCCCTGTGAAGGTAACCGAGATAAACATCTGGGGAAGGCAATGAGGGCTACAGACAAGACACTAAAAGGAAACCCAACCAGGAGTTTTTCCAGGCTGGACCTATTCAGTCTAATAACAAAAACTGAGGTGGTAGGAAAAGGAAGGAAGGGGGAGATTCTGACATTTTACCTTACAAGTGAAAATGTAAAAGAAATGGAAGGCCTTTGGTTCGAGAAGAGAGGGAGCAGAGAATGATATCTGAAATAGCTACTTCTCAAATTTAGGGTGATGGGTTAACAATGCAAGACTCCATCCCTGCTTGCCTTCTCTCCCAGACCCTCTCATTCCTCTGAGGCTGCCCTCTCCTCTATGCTCCCAAGCTCCTGAGCTTCTTCCCTCCCATCCAGCCCCCAGAGACTGCCCTTTCCCCTCCCCTCCCCTCCCCCAGGCTGCCCTCTGCTCATCCTCCCCCCATACCCTCGTTGCTCTTGTTAAGCACATTCAGACACTCCTTGGCCTCCACGTATTTGGTCTGTACAACCTTGAGCTGCGCGATGGATGAGGAGAGAAACTCCACCTCCTGTAAGGGGAGTGGGGGGAGGAAACAAGAATGAGGAGGGGGCGCGGCAGGGATGGGCGGGGGTCTGGGGGCCTGGGCGCCCCGGGCCGGGCCTCACCTGGTCCAGCTGGTTCTTGAGCAGCTCCAGCTGCGGCAGCGACAGCTCCGTGATGTTCACCGACTGCGCCATGTTGGGAGGCTGGGCAAGGGTGGGGCACGCCGGGCGTGGGAGGCGCTCTAGCCTCCCGCCGGGCGCGTCTCTATGGCGCGGGGAGGTGCCCGCCCCGCCGGCCCTCTCTATGATCTTCGGCCGCCGGTAGCGCTCCGGCCCCTAGCCGAGGGTTCCGTGGACTGGGCGCTCCTCCGCTGCTCCCGGTCCGGCCCCGCTGCTGTGACAGATGAAAGGCCGGGCCGCCCCGCCTCACCCGCTACAATGTATCCAGCGTGTTGCTCTGCACTGTGCGGAATAGAAATACAGTGTAAGTCAGTGTTGTGCCTAGGTCGCGCTCGCTTCTCCACGCACCGGGATCCCCCCAACTCCCGAAGGGAAAGGGACATCTCACCTAGGGTTTTGCAGCCGGAAAAGGTAGTGAGGCAGGATGGATAGAAGTGGCCGGCAGCCTGGAAGTCCTGGGTTCGAGTGCTGCCCCGATACATCCTGGCTGTATAATAAGGGTCAAGTCATAGTTTCTTAGCCCTCTTGGCAAAGCTCTAAGCCTAAGTGGCAGATTTTCTTAAAGGCTTTCCTCCCCAAGGATAGTGATACTACTGGCAATAGCGCAGAACCAGCCTCTATTCCCTAGGCGCAGTGCCTGGCACACCAGGAGGCACTTATTACTTGTTGACTGAATGCACTTTGTATCACATAATTTAGCTCCGAGAAGGTAAAGGTTACTATTCCCTCTGGCTGTCTCCTCCTGACCCATCCACCCTGAAGGCAGCCTCTGGTAGTCATATGTCAGAGAAATAGCTTGACCAGGGCAAAGCTCTTTCAAATGCCACAGAACCCCCACTCCTGCCCCCACCCCCCAACTTTATGCAGATTTTCCCTCCACTCCTCCCCAGAAACATTTTCTGTTGGGAGAGTTAGACTAGACCCATCTAATGCCAACACACTGCCCCACACTCAGCACTCCTCACTTTCTCTACCTTAAATGTTGGCCATTAAGGGAAATAAAGAGCATAGGCACAAAGTAAGGTAACCCACAGGTCATGGAAACTTACAGTACAATGCAAGCTTGTCAAAACACCAACAAAGAAGGTGCAGAGAAATGTTTTTAGCAACCCCTTCAGATAAACCAGACACAACAAAGTTTAAGTAATAACTTTATTACAATGAGTAAAAACACACATAAACAATGAAAAAATCATTTAAATACTAAATGGGGGGAATTCCAGAAACGAGGTTGGACAAAAAAAACGGGTAAGAACTGTAAAGAGACTTTTTCTAAGTATCACTGGAGGGACACAGGTAAGCCATAGGCTACTGGTGCAGCACCAATGAGGTATTTGAGTCTGGGAGCCTGGCGTGCCTGGATGGCATAGGAGAGGAGGGGAGCCCCCGAGCCAGCCTCCAACCAGCCCTGCAGCAGCGCTTCTGTGTAACGGTCTATATCTCTGTCTGTCACATCCCATAGGTTCCCCAAGAACAGGGGGCTAGGAGAACAAAGGAAAAGAGGTTAAGAAGAGGCCTGGGATAGATCTACAGATAGAAAAGCTAAGAGGGGAAAAAAAAACATTTGCCACTTCATTTTGGGACAGTTGGAGCAAAGGCAAAGGTGCCATAAGAGAGCTCTGGTTATGGGGGTAACAAAGAAAGGGAAAAAATCAGCTGAGCTACGGCTCAAAATCCAAAGCTGAAATGTGTGTGAGAAAGGGAAAGCCAGAGAACCAGAAAGAGCTAGAGTGAGCCAGTTTGTGGGGGAGAAGAAGGGTGAGAGGGAAAGAGAGAGGGAAGAGAGGAATTGGGGGAGAGTTCTCTATTTCTCCAGAACTGATCCTCCCAGTCAAGACTCACCAGCCTGCAATGATGTACTTGAGAACGATGCCAGCCCCTTCCAGGTTCCCCTGTACAGCCAGGGCAGCACTGCTACACCCAAACAGTAAGGCCACTGCTCGGCAGTTGAGCCGCTGAATTGCCTGCCCATCCAGGAAGGAGGCACCAGCCCCATGCCCTGCATAACTGATGCAGAGATGGAATGAGCTAGAGCCTATGACTGAATTTGTGTTTCTTAAACTACCCTTTCTTTCCATTTTACTACCCTACATCATCAACCGCTCCTTTTTGCATAACTGTACTCAGTAAACAAGAGTTCTGCAGCTTCAGCTTTTGAGAGACCCCCACAATAAAGGGCAACAGGACCTAGATGACCCCATTCTTGTCCCTCTTTCCACCCCAGATACTCACATATACAGATCATGCTCTGTCAAGGCTGCCTGCACCTGTTCTTGGCTTGGGACCTCACCAATGAGCCCCTTCCAGCCAGCCTCACTGTGGAGAGGAACAAAATATGAAAATGCAATTAAAAAAAAAAGGAAAAAAAAAACAAAGGAAATACTAAAGAGGTAAGTAAAATTAGACAACCTATTTTCCTCCCTATCCCCCTCCCTCCCACCCCAGTTAGGTGTCTCTAAGTGAACACTTAGACATTCGTTTTTCTCTCCCCATCCCACCTGCAGAAGCGGGCTCGGAATCGCTCCTCTGTGTTTTCCAGATTGTTCTGTGGGTTCAAGATGTAGAAGGTACTTTGTGGATTCACTCCCCTGTTCAACACTGATGAAGCCTGGGTCTGCATCAGTAAGATACACGTTCATTATCCCCTAATCTGACAGAGTTGGGACCTTGATGTCTTAAATTACTATTCTATCGCCTTGGCACAACCCTAGATACTAGAGATATTATCTCCATTTTATATATGGGATCAAGTCCTAATATGAGAATGATCTTGAACTGATATACTTTAACAGGAAGCTGTAGAGAAGTGTTAGGTGTCACTTGTGACAGCAGAGGGCAGCAGTGGCCTTGACTGGGTCCAGCCAATGAAGAAACGACTCTAAGCTGGGATAAAAGGAACAGACAGAATAGACTGGGTAGGAGCATGGAGAAGAAATTCAGAAAGAGTAGGAGAAAATGGATTACCAAAATGGTGAAGTCAACAAGGGCTGAGAAATCTCAGGAATAAGCAAAGGGGTCTAGGACAGGCAGGCAGTTGTGAGTACCAGGGTTAGGGGAAACAGCTGGGAATCTAGTTTCAAAGGCTTGGGAGTTGCAATCAAGGTAAGCAGATGGGTGTACATCTGGTCAGAGGCAGATTTAGACCTGGCCAGGATTGTGACCTTTTCACAACCTTTCATGCCCCTCATGACTCTGTCCTTGAATTCTTTAAAAGGATGCTTCCCTGCTGGCCCACCCCTGCCCCATCACAGGACTTTGAGCACTGGGACTTGTTTAAGTGATCACGCCACAGTCAAACAGCTAGTCAGCAGAGCTCAAAGCTAAATCTCTGACCCATTCCACTTGGGGAGAGCCAGGACAGCAAAGGCAGCCAGGCCCAGATCATAAAGTCCTCTTCCTTCTCAAAAAGCATCTTTTTTGGGGGGGGGGGGGGAGACAAGATGGAGAATGTTGAACAGACTAGGTTGATGGCAAACAGGGTAGAGGTGAAGTCACTGGATTGAAGATAATGATCTGGAGTTTAGGAAAGGCTCCAGTTTAGCTGTCTTCCAGTTTCCTGGGAGTCCTGTCCCTAAATGGAGGTGGAACCTGTGATTCTGTACCTGGAGTGACTCCCTCGAACATTAATTGCCATGTTTGTAAGTTAATCTTGGCTCAATGAAACTTGATTTAAAGGCAGCCTAGGTTGCCTCTAACTCTCCTAAAGGAACCAAGAAATAATGGGGATAAGGGTTGTATTTGGAATAGAATGAAGTGTTCTGGTTAGAAAAGTGAACATAACTAAGTGTTACGGCAAACTCATTCAGTGAGGAAATAAACTCAAATGTCCTGGGAGGCAAGAGACATGGCAGCACAAATGTTATCCTCATATCTGGCTGGTGCCTTTGTTCTGGCAGTCCGATTTCAGAAGTAGGAGATGAGGTTTGTGGGAGGACTGTAGCCTGGAAATACCATCAGCAGACATGACCAGGAAAGCATGTGCCACTGTTATCTGCTAGAACAAGGACAAAGTCACTCACAACCTTAAGTACTAAAGGACATGCAAGAATTGTAGCTGTCAGGGCTTTCTAGCTTGAAGCATGGCAAAGGCACAAACCTGATGAAGAAGGTGGTAGTGACTTACCACAACGGCAATAACCATGAATAATACTGGACTACTAGGGAAGCCTTGAAGCAAATATGACCAGCTGTAGCTGGTCTCCCCAACACAGGAGTACTGGAGGGGGAAGCACAAGGGTCCAGGAGGTGAAGCTGTACCTAATCCTGACCCTAGGGGGTATATAAAGAAAATGCAACATGGGGACCATAAGCTGAGCACAAGCATCTTGGGGAACAAATTCTAAAGGAGGGTTGAATGGCTATCAGGTTTTCAAGGCACAATCATCTGCTCTGTAGGTAGTTCCTCGAATTCTGGTTTATGAGACAATGCTGGCAACTGGAGATACTGATTTTAAAGCATGGAAATCACCAAATAAATGCCTAATTTAATTTATGAACTACCTGCAGGTGTACCCAACCAGTGATTAGTCTAAATAATTTCGTAGCATGTTGCTTAGCACCTTCTAGAGTGCCACCTTGATGGTCAGAAGCTATTCCCATTTCTCAGTGTTGTATGATACTGTTTAGTTGTGGTGTTTAAAAAAAAAATCTGCAAATGTTCAGCCGACAGGAGGTGATCCAGATTGCTGACTGTTGTGATCTAGGCAGGAAAAGATAGGGCAGAAGTAAACTGATGTTTAGATAAGTAAATTGTGTTCTTGGATTCAGGCAGAAGGGATGGCTTCCTATATAGGCCCAAGGAAGAGAAAGTCAGGGTTGAGAAGTAGCGGAATTAAGCCCTGCAGACCAGTCTGAGTGAGTGCTAGAGGCCCCAGTGGCTAGCCAGGGCTTTCACTCTTTTGGGAGTTAAGGAGTCTGTTCAAATGTCATCTTGTAGGCGCTGCTCAGATACAGTGCTATACCCCAACTCCACTTTTTACTACTGAACTTGAATTTTTCCAGCTAGTACTGATCTTGCTTCTGACAAGGTAAGTAT